TTAATGAGGCGTCATTTGGTTTGAATTGGCTGTAGCATTGCATACATTATTTCTGATGGAAAAATCTTTCATTTGGAGGAAAACAGTTCCAGGAAGGTTGACAAAGTTTGCTCTTCTCAGTAAACTGCTTACCTTTTACACAGTGACACACTTGTTGACTGAAAACCTTAAAGAGAGCAGGTACAGGTTCAGGGATCTGGTCAAGGCCAGTGTAGCTGTAGAGTATTTGTTATCTGAAAAGAGAGTGTTCTCACTTTTCCTAGCCATTCCTGGAATCTATAGGTGAATCCCAATGTCCTTAATTGCATCCACATTTTCCTCACTTGCAACTTTTTCTTGCGTCTTAGTTCCACTCATGTAAGATTAAATGAAAAGATGCTAGGACAAACTGCAAGGAGAGAGGGACCGAGGTAACACAGTTTAACTGACATGTGACAAACTGATTTTTATAGAAGTTATATTTTGGGCATTATGCTTTTATTATTTTATAGGGTAAATGGGTCACAGAGGAGCGGACCTGCGACATAGGTTGGTTGCCAGAGTTGAACCGCCAGCATGTGCTTGTATATGGTGTGCTGCACCGTAACCATTCGGCTACTGGGACGCCCCACAGCCTCATCAGAGATATGCAAAGATTTGGCATTTATGCCACATTAATCATTAATTGATCATTAATCATCAATTATCAAATTTATTGTAACTGTTTCTTGGTGAAAAATGAGCCAGCACTATATCCACTCTGCTACTGTTGTTCTTAAAGAAATGCCTCCAACACATAACTGCTCCTAAAACCACAAGCTGTCATTTATACATTCATGTTTTATGACAATTTTGGAGAGAATTCATTTTCACGCTAAGCAAATTAATTGCATCCTGACTCTGTCGCCATAATTGAATCACTGCCTTGACAGTGGTATCAATCTTCTCCTCTAATTCCAGGAAAGAAAGTGAATAAACATATTTCCCAAAAGTGCTTTAAATCAGAAACAATTTCATTTACTGTGGCACTGACAGGTTGTAATATTTACCGCATGCTGTTTTGCAAAGGGAACAGAGTTTAACTTAAAGCATACAAATACAAAATCAATTATATATAATACACATATCAATTATTAATTTTCCATTTGATTGATCTTCAGAGCTTTTATCTACAGACTTCAGTTTAAAAAAAGCTTTAGGCTTTATGAAGTCCACAGAAATACAGTTGAACCAGGATTCTCATTAAGAAAAATTACATAACACCTGGACACAAAAAGCATCAAGGCTGGACAGGGAGCTATTTTTACCTAATCAGCTTATTCACTTTTTCACCGAGCTGCATTCAGCATTGCAGCCTCTCACTGCTGCGCTCAGTGACCCACTAACTCTTAGTGTGACTAACAGAATACAAACAGTAGTGATCAGTTATGTAATCGCTGATTACCGTCAGTGTTTGTAGATTGAATCTCTTTGTACTCCTGATGTATGAACCAGTTTCTGTTGGATGATCAAACAGGGTCCTGAGATTCTGGATTCATATACTGTAAAATGCTATAATATTTTGTGTGTATGCAGCAAGAGAACATTTTGTGTCATATAAAGAAGATGCTGACTTCAGTGCCACAAAACATGAAGCAATTGATTTTAAACAGGCTGCAGTCAGCACCACCTTTGTAAGTCAGAAACATTTCAGGCTGCACGCTGAGTTTTTAGTCTTTTAGCTTGTGGCTGCGACTGAGCAGAGAACATAGAGGAGAAATGAAAATTCATCACACAAGTGTTTTGCAGTGAGAAGTGTGGAGCCTTGTTATCTCGCAGCACCGCGGTGATTCATTTGGCAGTCGGAGTCAACAGAAAAAAAAGCTTTTGCAGCAGATATGGGGAGCTTTGTGGAATAATTTCACCAATATTTTTTGAAAATCAAAATATATATTTGCACTTATTAAGGAAAAGTTTGCAGCAAAAACAGTTTCACAGACTGACTGACACTGACTGTTTCAAGGCAACCTGCCTATTCATTTTTATTACTATAATTTATTAAAGATGTATAACTGGGTGCCTTTATTAATGTAAATAAATCATTTATACATTATTAGATTAGATTATACTTAGATTATACTCAGTTATACTTCAGAAATAAGCAATAAGAATTTTTGGATGGGAGATCAGGGAGAAAATCCCTTTGATAGCATATTGGGATAACACAGGATTTGTTTTTATAGCTAACTTTTTTATTTATTATGTAGACCCTTTGAAATGGGCTGTTGCATCACTTGCCTGTTGGGAAAAGAGCACCAGAATAAAATCTATTTCCAAACAGCTTATCAGACTCTACAGGAACTGTGCTCTTACAATCACAAAATAAACAGCAGTTTTTTTGTTTTTTTATTTTTTTCAAACTCCAAGAAATGTTCAGACTGTTAGAATGCTTGCCAGTTTTACCAACAATGCATAAAGAAAGAATCCATTTCAGAACCACTTTTACTAGCAAAGGTCACATAAGTTTTTGTGCACTGCACTGGGAAATGTTGTGTTCAACATGTCGTGCCAAAGTTAAACAGGCATCCCAGAAGGACTGACTTAACATTTACTTGATGAATCATTGGAGTGGAATAACCCTATATTAATGACTCACTAGTTTCAGACCTGATAGCTTATAAAGTGAGAAGCTCATTTGATTTTTCATTACCAATGCCACATTGTTTAATGATCTGTGAAGAGGCACAGCATGTGAGGCTGTTTGCATTCACCACATCTTGTTTTTTATAACTAGAAACATCTGCATTTTTTTTTTGTGGATTCAGACAAGATTTAATCAACATTGTTTTACTACCTAAATATTATGTTCTGCCATGGTGCTTATATTGGCCTCCATTCAGGACAGCAGCTTCCTTGTGTAAATCAATGATTCGGTACTGTTGGTCGTGCTTTTAGACGCTTTAAACAACAATCCATTTAACTCATGAGTCTGTTTCTGCAAACCTGTCATGGGTCATGAGTTACCATGCAGTAGTACTTTAATTTATATTAAGATTCAGGCTGCGACCAAAACAAGGTCATAGGAGCACACACATAAATAGTTTTGTGTAAATCAGACCTCAGATGAAGGCTGAGGATCTGTTCAAACATCCGTGTCTATAAATATTAGGGCAGTGCTGACGGAAGCCACAGTTGCACCTCCTCCTTCCTCATCTTCTTTTCATCCTGTCTTCTCTCTTTTCTCTCTGAATCCCTCTGTTATTTCATCAGATGTTCCCCTTTGTCTACTAACATCACTTAAGCCAGTTTATCTGTCCTTCCATTCCAGTCTTCTTCCTCCACAGTGTCTTTCTGTTTTCTTGCCTTCATTTTTTTCTTTAGACCCTTTCCTCCTATTTCATTTTTGTTTTCTTTTCCTTTCTCTTTCATCGGTTTAGCTTTCTGTTTGATTGTTGTTTCCCTGCTATACGGTTCCTTGAAAGTCTGGGAAAGTAGATCCAAATCAAATGTTGTGTTGCTGTGTTTTTACAGGCCCCAGTTCCCAGTTTTCCAGTATTGTGACTCCTCATCCTGTTTCTTTTAGCCTGTTCCTCCACTGGTATGAATCCCTGTTTAATGGGTCCAGGATGACGCAAAAACCACAAAGACAATAGAAACCACCTGTGGATTCTACACTGTAGTATCTGCGGATGCTGCTCCATTGATAACATCCTGAGCAGACTGCGGTGCAGCTAGGATGTCCTACTCCTCACATACCACCTGCAGCACTGCAGGCAGTTGGTTACATCAAATTTAGCAAAAACGTTAATGTTGATTTTTTCTTAGCCGCGTCTTTGTCATTTAACTAAGGTGTTTATTACGTTCATACCTCAGCTCAAGACATCAACCCCTTTGTCATATACATCTGCCCATGACTTTTTTTAAGTTTAAAGGTGTATTTATTTTTACTTGCCAGTCAGTTTTGTGCACATTAGCAGAAAATGTAAATGGATAAATATAAACTATAGCCAGTCAGCCATGTTTGAGCTCAGCAGATCAAAATCCATATAAATCAGACATTTCAATTTAGAAGCAACAAACTGTAGACAAGTGTTATTTTTGTAATTATAAAATGTGGAGCACTGCATTGTAGTATTCTTAGTAGAAACTCTAGTAGTCTATATAATGTGTATATATTAACCATTAAGTCAAAATAATCCCTAAAACAAGCACCGAGATCATATAATGTATTAGCTGTTAGGTTAGACATGTATAATGTCATTGTAGTTGTTATATTGTATGTTGCACTGTTAGTATGATAACTGTATAGGTCATATAAGGTCAGTATGTTAGCTCCTCGAGCAGTTTATGACAGTGTCAGGAGGCAGACAGCATACAATACTAGTATTCATCCTCTGAAGTTCAGACAGATAAAGTATAGGAAGGCCTCTAATCGGTTTGTTAAAGAACATCTGTGCCCCAGTCCTCCTTGTTTTTCTCAGACTCTCTCTCCTCTCTTTCCTATTCACATTTAAAACTCTCTCTGTCTGTTATTAGACAAATTACGCGTGCGTGTTGGTGTTTAAGGGTATGACCCAGAATAGGTTTGGAACCAGATTACATTCAGACATCTTGTTATATTTAACCAGGAATTAAATGTGTTGAACTGATGAGCCAGTTTTGGCAGCTTCCATTACCCAAGAAATTTCAGTTTGTTTGAGCATCATTTGAGTACATATGTCATGGTGTTTACACATGGACAGCTCAGTGTACAGTAAGTTTGTCTTTGTGTTGCAATCCAGCTAGCAAGCCTACAACTCTTTGTGTTTGTATGGGCATATACATGCAACCTACAGTGTGTGTGTGTGTGTGTGTGTGTGTGTGTGTTCTTGTGCCTTTAGAGAGTGAGATTGTTTTGTGCTGGGAAATGTTTTGTCTTTCTCTTCTAAGTGCTTCTTTTCATGAAGCCTGTCATTGGCCCTAGCCTGATGAATATTCACACAAGTGACAAAGAAAGCTCACATAAACAAAGTTGAAGCCAATTAGTCTTTGGAAAAATGGGGGTGGAGGGTAAATTCGTCCACACAGAATTGGTGTCTGTCTGTGTGCACCTGCATTGCACTTGCTGTGTACATAAAGGGAAACCATGCCCACGTTAACCGTGACAAACTGATCTGAGACTTGGCTGACACAGAGGTGCTAATTATCATGGCCCTACATCAATGGATTTTAAATAACAATCCCAAATGTCACCATGCCAAGGTGTGACTTGGTGCTGCTGTTTGCTGCAGTTACACAGTGCATGGTGTGTCCCCAAGAGACTTGGGTTCTCTGTCACATTTCTTTTCTAGTCTGTGTAGAAAAGAGAAACAAAAGAGCAGAGGGGAACTTCACACTCCTCGAAACAAAAAACTGATTGTCTTATGCTCATTTTGACCTCAGCATAGTTTTCCCACTGTTCATCATGTCAGAACTTCTCACCTACTTTGCCCAGAACTTTATAGGATAAAGGATAAAACACACTCCTGTCTAGTCTTCAAGTCTCTTTAACCTGTTATTATTTATTTTCTTGCCATTTCTTAGGGGTCGAGAGAAGAAACCTCTCCAAACTGAGACATATTGGATTTATATACACTGCTCAAAAAAATAAAGGGAACACAAAAATAAGACATTCAACTATGTTGTGTTCCCTTTATTTTTTTGAGCAGTATATTAAAAACATTGTCTCCATGTGGTTTGAATGAGGACTTTGACGTATAATGTATATAAATTTGAGCTTTGTATAGGATATGATCTTTATTAGGGTCTGTTTTGTGGTCATAACATTTGTGTATGGACAGAAAGCAATATTTTGTAATTGTTATTGTTTATTTGACAAATTATTAGCTATATGTACAATAGGATTTGGCAAAGTTTTAAAAGTGTATAGAGGTGTGTTTGTGGTTTTGTGAATTATTTACAGCACTGTGTCACACAACAACCAATCAAAATGCTAATATCAGGTAACATACTGTCAGTTAATACTACTGGGGCCAGGTGCTACCTACCATAGTCACTTTCAGGCACAAATAACAATGGACAGGAAATTGCTTGTGACACGAATCTTTTAGCTCTGTTTTTCTGGTTTTTATCAATAGGTGCCTAAGGATGGGTCTGTCTCTGCAGTTTTTAAACATGTTATAGTGCAGCCCCTTCTTAGAAGACCTAATCTTATCTCCTTAGATTTGGGTAACTTCAGACCAGTCTCTAAATTATCATTTATCTCTAAGGTTTTAGCAAGAGTCATCTTTATTCAAATAGTCTTTTTTAAATGGCTTTGGTGGAAAACTTCAATCTGGTTTTAAGTCTCCACATAGTACAGAATCATCTATTTTGAAGGTCACTAGTGATATTTTATTAATTTTACATTCAGGAGATATGGCCCCTCCGGTGTTATTAGATTTAACTGCAGCATTCAATACAGTTGATCATAAAATCCTTCTGTGTTGTCTTGTGCAGTGCGTAGGAATGCAGGGTACTGTTTTACAATGATTTACTCATTATTTAACAAATAGGAGCTTTGCATTAAATGTTAGACTTGTTTTCCTCTGCTGTCCCACTAACTTGTAGGGTTCTTGGTTCATTTCTTTTTCCCTTATATATCCCACTTCTGGGATTTATTTCAGGGAAATAGTTGTTTTCCTTTCATTTTTATGGAGATGACATCCAAATTTATTTACCAATAAGATCCAGAAGTGGCACTCCATCTCTCCAGAGATGTAGCTTTAAGTTTAGTGCTCGTTATTATTCAGCACTAATGCTTGTACATTCACTCGCCTCACCTTCTAGTGGTAATCACTCTATGTCAACTGAACAGGCCAGCACATGTGACATATAGCCCCAGTGGCCTAATGAATTAGACACTGGCTTCCTAACACAGGGATGGTGGGTTCAGGTCCCATCTGGGGTGACTCCTGGAACAGTGGCCCAACAGAAGCATGAATTCCTGAGATGTAGGTTTTGTGCTTGTTTTTATTCAACGCTAATGCTTGTACTTTCACTCATGTAACCCCATTGGGTTACACCCATTACCCTAATGGATAAGGCCAAAGTTGGGCTTCGTGAGTTCAAATCCCATCTGGACAGCTGTTGTGTTAAAGTGCTACACTAATAAAATTTGATTTTAAATAAAATTTTCATGTCTGACTTTTTGGATTATCATTCCATATTAAAAAATAAATATTCTGTGCTTTCTTCTGCCTCAGGGTGGTGCTATCTCCATCTTGACGGCCTGTGAGAGACCCAATGATTTTACTGGAGTGGTGCTGATAGGTCCAATGATCCAGCTGAATTCAGAATCAGCCACACCATTTAAGGTATGATTTAATGACTTGAACATTTGTTCTCTTTGTTCATTCGTGTGCCCTCTTTTCCATTCTCTTCTTCCTCTTGCCTTTTGTAATTACCAGGAATCAGTCGCCTTTCTCCTGTGAAGTCAGCTGCAGGTTAACGTCTATAATTGTGATACCTTTTATTTTGTGGAGAAGAATCAAAGTACACTCATAAAGGGATGTAGAAATCTCTATGGGAGAAAAGACTTATTTTTTATTATTTACTAATACCTTTTAACAGTAAGCAATGAGTTTTTAAATCCTACAGTGAGCTTGAAACACAGCATGCAAAGTAATTAATTAGCCACATGCCTAATTTCATGACAATATGCATCTTTTTGTGACACTAATCAGATGGTGAGAAATAATACTGAGCGACAGGAGTGTTTTTTATGAAGGTGTTGATATGTGAAAATAAACTGATGGTGTTTGTTTTTCACTATTTGCAGGTTTGTATGGCGAAGGTTGCGAACTATATGCTTCCTAGTCTCAATCTGGGCCCCATTGAGTCCAAATGGATATCACGGGACAAGACACAGGTGAGAGACAAATGTTAGCAGGAGTGTGTTAGGGTGGTTGAGCAGCATTGTTATCTCTGGTTGAAATAGCATGTATGGATGCAGCAGAAGATAGAAATTACAAGGTCTTGAGGGTACAGTTTATATATGTGTGTGTATTATATAGTGCTGGATATGTATCCACATTTCTTGTATAACCACAGTTGAAGAGACAAATAGACACATGCAGGAATGTCCACCTAGCACTGTGGACATGTTGTTTTTTTGTACTGCTGTGGTTGTATGTATCATGTCCAAACAAAGCAGGCCTTTCAGAAACAGTGTGTAGTAACAATATGATCTCACATCCAGTTACTTCTGCTTCCTCCTGACAGTAGGGAGGAGGACGTAGTGTTATCAGTTCTCACGGGTACAATAATAGAAACGGTAGATTCAGTAGATATTCTACCTATCTACCTACATGAATCACTAAAAGAAAAATCAACAGCTTTTAAGTTTTTTGTTTTGTTTGGTTTGGTTTTCTGATAATATTGTTAACAGTGACACACGACAGAGGTTCTTGCTAGGATATGGTCAAAGTAAAGTTTGATTTATACTTGACTCAAGACTGTCACATCTGCCTTTGACAGCACCATCTTAGCTGCGCTATTTAGATTTTATTTAATAGTGACCATACAGATAAACAAGATTACATAGGAAAAGCCAAAGCAGTAGATGTAATGTATCATGGGCATCTAGCTGAAGATAATTTTACAACGCCCCTCCCTGGTTAGGGTTTTAAATTTTAAATAAACAGCAAAACTTTAAAGTGGAATTAAATTCACAACACATCTTTGTAGATGTTTAAGCCATTGTTTCATTTGTATAGTGAATAACAAATAAAAGAGCAATTATGGTCTGAAGCATATATACTGTACATACACTTTTTTACTTTCTATTTGCTATAGCAGCTTTACAATCAAGATGTCAGAGAGAAATTAATTACTAAAAAGATCTTTTATTTTTTAATTCACTTATAAACAAAATCAGAACTCTTTTGTTGGCCAAATTTGAAAAAAAAATTCTCGTATCTAATTTATTGCAACTGCCCTTTTCTGATATATTGTTATGTCAGTTTGGAAATCTTTCACCTTCAAGATAATATCATGTTGTGCCACACTTCAGCTTTTAAAGTATTTTATTATTCAAAGCAGCAGCTCGTGTGAGTCCGTAGAAGCTTCCTCTGTGTGTTTACATATTGTATGAATAAAATTGGGCAGGTGTGTGACTTATGTGAGAGCACGTATGAAACATGAGCTTATTCACACTCAAAGAAACAGGGTGTGTTCAACTTTGAGTTAAACTAATGTGGGCGCTTGTTTTCCTTTTTTCTGGTCGTCCTGCCTGCTTCAGTATCACATCTACTAATGTTTACTAATGTTTCTCTTACCTGTTTTTATTTCTCATTCCATAAAGCCCCTGCATCTACAGTATTCATTAATCAAATTAACCCCCACTGGCCAACTGTCATGGTTTTCCCAAGATGCTTTTAGCTCTCATCACCCTCTTTTCTCTAATGAAACCACTTGTCCTTTCATATTTGTATTAAAACATTAAATGAATTGTGCTTATTAAATATTGATGCTTTAAACAAATATCCAGGCTTTACAATCCTATGTTTTGTGGTTCACAACATAAGTGTGGATCATTATGGAAAGATGAATCAATGTTTTGGACAATTTTAAATGAAAGTCTTAACCCTATTGAGTGGATTTTGTGTAGCACAAAGGGGTAAAAATGATGTTGAATCAAAGAATCTGAAGAGCAACAGAAAGAACCTATGTCAAAAAGAAATGATCAACTAAAGCATAATCCATTTCTCCTCATAATTATTTTGTCTGTCTGTCCTCTGACAGGTGGAGGCATATGAAAATGATGAGCTGATCTACCATGGCGGGATGCGAGTTTCTTTCGCCGTACAGCTGATGGGAGCTACAGCTCGCATCAAGAAGGAGATTCCGTCCATCAACTGGCCCTTCCTGATCCTGCACGGTGATGCTGACAAGCTCTGCGACATTGGAGGTTCTGAGATGATGTATGAGAACGCTCAAAGCTTAGACAAGAAACTCAAGGTAGGGATGATTTCTTTGCAGAAAGGTTTGTGTGTGAATTTTTAGCCATTTTTAAAAATTTAATCTCTGTTGAAAATGATGTTGTTGTTAAAAAGTCAAAGATCATGAAATCACCACATTGCTTCATTTTGTTCACTTTTCCTGTTTTCCTTCATTTGTTATGCACAATAAGATGATTTTCCAGGAGGCTGCTTTAGTTGGAGGTCAAAAACATTGACACTTTTGTGGCTGATTGATACAGAAACTAGAACCTGAGGCAATCTAAGTGACACCTGAAAACTATATGATGAGCTCATAAGCACTACTGTAAGCCAATAACCAAAATAAGCTGTTGGCAGTTGAAGATATTGGATATACTGTACATTTGGCTCCAGCAGGGTGCATTCACAAACAGAGTGAGCACTGTTTAACCCAAATAAATTCTTCCTCATCTGTAGGACGTTGTGTATTTGTAAAGAAGGAAGTTTACACACTTGTATCGCCACATAGTTCATTACATGAGTGGTAAAAACAAAGCAAACAAGAAGTGAAGAGAAGTGAAAAAGAGAAGAGAGTTGCGAAGAGTCCCTGCTCCCATCCTGCCTTGATGGATGTTCTTTTCTCAACATCATGAGATAACTAGAGAACCAAGTGTGATCATGAGGTGCAGTTACTGCTTCATCACATGTCTTATCAAAGAAGTGAGTGATGTATCAAATGTCAGGGGTTTCCCAAATCAGAAGAAATAGTCAGGAAATCTGTTGATCACAGAAAAGCATAGGTTTATTTGATGTTACAGCATTTTCCCATAGGTTTAGCTAAGCATAATGAACTTGTCTCAGTTTTGACTTCTGATAACCTGGACTACAGTTGCTGAAAAGACACAACACAGAGACTGACAGTTTATTTGGTTTCTCTTTTCAAATGCCCTGTTTTGAGCTTACGTAAACCAGTTTTTCACAACTTCCTTGTGTGTGCCCCATCACTCTGACTCTCTCTCACTGCTTCTAAATGCCTTTCTAGATCTATGAGGGAGCCTACCATGCCCTTCACCACGAGCTCCCAGAGGTGGCCGAGTCCGTGCTGAAGGAGGTGAGCAGCTGGATCACAGAGCGCCTCCCGGACACGACATCACCACAGCAGCAAGCCTCATAGACTTGTAACTTGCACAACCCAGTCAGCACACCAAGGCAATCTGCTCACTTTCCAGTAGTCTGTCAGGCATAAGAAATCTTCTATACTCCTTACTCTAACAAAATATTTTCTCAGTATAAAAAGTTTACTGACTTTATTTTCTGGGCACATACTGTACAAAAAGACTACACCACCCTCTCCTGTGTATCCATCAATCAACCCACTAATATAAGCTAGGGTCAGGAACCACTTCTTACTGTAGCTACTCAGCAGCAGGGTTCAGTTTCTCTGCAAAACTTAAGACCTGGGATGTGTGCTATTTATTCTGACCTGTGGGCATATATGGTTAGCATTTAATCACCTCCATTAGACCTCACTCAAGTGCAGCTCAAGTGAAATAAATTTTAAACTATAGAATGCTGGGGTTCAAAGTGCAATAATGGAGTTTCCATCTCCTACAGTATACATACAGAAAATTTTCTTTGAAGTGGTAATGTAATTTGTTATTGATCTGCACAGGAACACCCCCTTTTTGTTCATCTTCCAATCATAGACAGGTCAGAGGTCAGGATCAGCTAGAAGACGGCACCTCGGAAACTGCTGTAGGTTCAATGCAGAACAAACACTTAATGGCTATCCTCAATAGGAGAGGCTGTCATCTCCTCAGTATGACCCAACCTAAGTCCATCTCCTCTGATTCCTCTCACTGTTTTACGAATAACCTAAAATACCACTTTTGACAAGGCAGCTCTTGAAAAGTCACTCAGAAACCTACACTGTCAACATACGTCACTTTGTGTATATATAACAAATCCTGTCTTCTCCTGACTTCCTCCATCTTTCTCTCTCTTTTTGTTCCAAAGAGAGATACCTGGCATTGATTCATTACATAGAAAGATGAGTGTAATCCATCTAAATCCAGCCTAAGGTCTAGTTTCAAATCTAAGCCCTAATTATTAGAATAATTTGGCATTGATGTTTTACAAATTAAATGAATTGTGCAATGGATCCTATAATAGTATTTTAAATGAAGTATATATTTTTTACCATAAAGTGATAGTTTATTAATGAGTGAGAGACCAATGGAAACAACAATTTTTCATATGCGTAATTCTTGATGTGTGTAGTGAAGCGTGTAAGGGCAATGATGAGGAGGCAAAGGTGAAGCTGTTTTGTCTCTCTCTCTCTGCAGGTGGGAATTAGAGGGAGTGCACAAAGACCAAAATGTTTCTCTTCTCTGTGGCCTTTGACCTTTATGGTCACAGTTGGCTTCACTGTTGAGAGTCATTCATTAAGCACAGGCTGCAGAGTAGTGCCCAGCTGGAAAACGAGACCCACGCAACACTCTGTTACTGTGGACAAAAGTTTATCTCCTCTGTTCACATAACATCTGCCATTTGATGGACACGTTTATCCAAAATATTTTAAAGTAATATGGCTGCATACATTTCAAGCATGGGCGGCCACAGCGGGAATCCAACCCCCTCTCTCAGAACAATGCCATATTCATACGTTTTCTGGAGAACAGGATGTCCTCTGGAATAGACTCCAGGCGTGGAGGGATTGCAGCTCAAAAAGTAATATTACGGAGGATGAAACTTAAGACTTTTGGCTTCAGAAATATCACTGAGGACTGCACCCAAGCACAGCAACAATCTAATATAAAATCCATGTTTTATTGTTCCAAATCATCCAGTTTAAACAGTTCAGTACATTTACAATTTAAACATTCATACTGTATGTTGGGTACTTTATAGACTGATTTCAGTATTTCTTAAACTCAGTACTCAGTCACCTTTTGGAAGGACTTAGAACCATGACATTAGTGTTTCTAAAATTCTGTCTACAAAACTGGACATGTTTTATGCCTAGTGCAATAAGAGCTTTTCAAACCTCTAAATCCCCCCTGCAGTTAGAGATGACTGAAACAGCGATTAAGCGCATAGTTCCCCTTTGTCTTTATGCTCTAAAGGTATAAACCTGTCAGTTTCTGAAGTGTTAGCAGCAGTGTGCAGTACTTGAAGTCAACCCAGGTTTCAAATAGGTTTTCAACAAAACCACAGCAATAATATCATGGTAGCCTATATTTTTGGTAGCTGTTAATTATAAGCTAGACAGACGCACACTGAGCTTACATTTTGACCTGTCAGGTTGACTGTAATTAGCAGGTATTGCTACATGTGCTAAACTTTTTCCACCTCTTCATCAAGCATGAGAAAGTTTTAGCGAAATAAAACGTGGAGAAGGATCGATCATTTTGTTGTATGTGGCAAATCACTCATCCCATCAGTCATCTGTACAAGAAGTGTCTCTGTTGTTGACTTCATCCTTTGTTGACAATGAACATGTCCTACAGTTAAATACACCCAGGATGCAGATGCTGGTGTCAAACCTGACTGTGTTGCACTGGCTCTTTAAGTTTTTTTGTTTTTTTTTATTTGTCTGAGTTCAAAGGGATTCATGCAGAGAGTGTAGGTGAAGCACAGCGCGGTATCCACGGTGACCGTTACTCACGTGTAACCATGGCAGCTTTCTGACAGGAAGGTTGATTATTCCATTTGATTATTCCATTTTACATGTGTATAAACCGGGGTGATCACTACAAGTCTGGTAGTAAATGAGAGGAATTTTGGTCCTTCATGACTGCTGCTCTCACTCTCACTCTCCCTTACCCTCTCTTTCTCACCCTGTGTCACCCTGATTCACAGCCTCTGGTTGCTTCTTTTTATAGTCAACGTGGTGACCAGTGCTCTTTGTTCTGTCCATCACAGAGCCCCTTGTTCTACTACTGATTCAAATATCTTGTACTGTCAGCCATAAGTGCTGCCAGCCACCCACACTGTCCCTAGTGGTCAATTATCAGAACAGCAACATGACATTTCTCATTTTTCAGCTGGTGTGTTTTTTCCTTCTGGCTATGGGCTCCCACTTATTTAACAAGGCACACATTACTTAACCTGCCTCTGACTCTGTTAAGCTAAATGCTAAATCTTACCACACTAATTGGCTTTAGGAAAAAGGGAGGTGACATTTCTTAGTCTGTATGTACTATAAGAGTGCAACCTAGGATTGCTGGTCTGCTGACACGACCACAAATCCTCGGTGTTTTGCAGATGCCTTTGAGCACTGTTGTGTTTTGCTTTTTTAATTCTTACTGTTTCTGGTGTTTGCAAACTGTTTTTTGATTGGGCTACTGAGAAACTGCTGAGCTGCAATGGAAAACAAGGCATCAGTGGCAAGGCTAGTCTATATTGTACACTTCCTACACAAATCCAAATCCAAGTGCTTTCCAGAATGGGTGCCTCAAATGAGAAGCAAATCATGGGATGTACAAAAATAAAATGATAGAAACCAATTTTAAAAGAAAGGAGCAAAAAATAGATGGGAGTTGAGGATGTTAAGTGCATCCTCTGCTTTTTCATCTTATGCATCAAAAGACATTTTTTTAAACCAAGTGTCAGTTGCACTGCCATGTGTGCAGACATAGATGTAGATGTATTCATCAGTCCCAGTGGTAGTCAGACCCTTATCTTCAAATATAACTGCAGGGGTTTATCCCACTAGCACTTCAAACACAATCTACTCCTGATTGGGCTGCAGCAGGCAAAGCACACACAAAGGTTACACAGTCCCAGCTGCATTGAAACTCATAATAACACCCCTGCTGTTCTGCACCAGCACAGTGGATTCAACCCGGCAGGATCCTATGTAACAGTTAGTGTCAGACGTTCTACCTGTCAGACTACACGAGTGCATATTACTGCTATTGTTATGGAGGCGGAGGTAAATTGAGAAAAGAAATAGAAAGAAAGAGGAGAGAAGCTGTCAGTAACCATGGCAACAGCTTCACTTTTTTTTTTCAACAAAATCAACCAGTGAAAAAATGTGTATTTGTTAATGGTACAGACATTGCTGCACTTTTTAGAGCTGGTTGTCCATTTGCTGCTTTGAGGATTTCCTTTTGTGCAAGATAAGGGAGCAAGCAATTAGTGCCATCAGTTCACAGGGAATCATAAGAGCTGCTTACTCACGTTAATCAAGTCAGGCAGTTCTGCTGTTTGTGCTTAAAACACACTATTTCCAACTAAGCAAATGTTGCAGAGATTTTAAGGCTAAAAATTTTCTTTTTTCTAATGACTTATTTTGTTTTAGCCCCTGGTTATTCCTTTTCATGATTCAAAAAAGTGGTGAATGAAGGTCTATGATTGAAAGTAAAGGAGGAAGTCACCACCTTTTCACTAGATTTCATATTCATCTGTTTTTAAAGTGTGCAATGCCTGACACAGTCCATACATCTTATAAAGCCACAGCTGTCCATGCCAACATCATTTTCTACTGGCATGTTTACTTATAAAAGCATGAGTCATATGCAGGTTTGCCACACCATGTACAGATGCATTGCTTTGTTAATATGTAATAATTCACTTGACTGTTAATACTTTTTTTTTTTTAATTTAGGACAAAAGTTCTATATTAAGTAAGGGAGAGGAATAAAAATGAGGGCAGGAAACTGCTCAGTCTAATTGGGCTGCATCTTTTTTAATGAAGCCAGATTTAATTGGCTTACCGCTCTGTCAGTGGGGCCATTTTTGTTTTTTCTTGACTTTATGACTGTTTCTAAGCAAAGATTTGTTCTACACAATGCAGGACCATGGGGTAAAGGGCAGTCTTTCTATTGTTTATTAGATTAAAGTACACTGGAAAGATTTGATGCAATGTCTGCATGAATGAAGTCTTGAGTCACTGCTCAACTAGGCAGCAAGAATTGAAGAGGTCTATTCCAAAATGCTGTTAATGAATGAAAAAAAAATTGTACTATACATATCATATCTGTAAAACACAGATGAACCAGGCTATTAAAGTGTGATCATTTCCACCAGAAAAAAGAACTTAGATTTGATTTTGAAACGGTAGATATTTTATTTTGGAACAAAACCCAATTCAAATCTTGCTGGTTTCTATCAACAATGTTTATTGATTTATTTCTAGTAGCCAGACTGCTTGATTATTGAACATAATTATAATACACTGTATAACAGCATGGCACTGCTAAAAACATGTGATGGAATTATGGAAATCAATTATACATTAAACAGTCACATGTAATTTTTACTATTGATGCTCAGCTACATGAAGCTTTGTCTCATCTGAGATGGAAACTGGTTCAGTGTTGTATGCACGTATATACAGTCAGCAATCCTAAAACTTTATACCATATCTGATGTGATTTTGCAAAGAGATTATTTTACTGTGTTGAAAAACCCCAAATCTTGTTGCAGTTTGTCACAGAGCCTTGAATATTTAAACCATTTGATGCAAAAATATTTTTGTTTTATTTTAACAAGATCTTAACAAACAGGGTATTACTGCAACAGGTAATTTTTTTAATCCAGTGGTTGTGAATTAGAGATTTAATGTAGCTTTTGACATTCATAACACATTCTGTTACATGTCAGATCAAAAACAGTTGATTGAAAGGTCTATGAGTACTAAATTGCAGGTAGCAGGTTTTCCCCCAACAGCAGTACGCTTCTAGGGGGAAAAGCCTCGGATTCATTAAAGTTTTTGTGGTAATATGTAAGGTATATACAACTATTTTTGGATTGCTGTTTATTGTTTGTGCCTTATTACTATGACAAATGTGTGTCCGAATATGTTTGTGCAAGTGTGTGAGTCCATGAGTGTGTGATTTTTGATAGAGGTAAACTGTGCAGAGCTACATTAAGTAGATCTGCTTCTCTGTTACTCTGGGTTTCTGCCTATTTTTCATCACATCTGTTTCTGGTTCAGTAATTGTGGTTGCCTGTTTGTCTTTCTATTGTCTGTCTCTTTTTATTCATGTCTGTCTGTTTTTCTCAATTTCTGTCCAACCTAGGGTCAGAGCAGATTTTGGTTAACATTTTCTGAAAGTATAGACTAAAACACAACTGATAAACACCTGCTTAAAGACACAGAGAGAATCTACAGGCACAATACTTTACATTAAAGACAGTACTTTGTGCTCCTCAGGCTGCTTTAAAAGCACAAAGAATGTATAACATATGGAACTTATCAATTTTTCCCCGTGGCTTCCAAAACACAACAGGAAATTCAGCCCATCACATAACAATAATAAAAGGATTTGCAGTGCACTAAGAACCAGATGCGGGTTTTTCTGATTCCATCGGGATTGTTTTGTATTGAATGAGTTCATTGCCTATGTTTTTATTTGTAAGACAAATTTGTCAGCATGTAAGACAACTTTTTTGAATCTCCCTAAAATGTAGAAGGGTATGTCTCTATTTTTCTTTTTTCTATCATTTGATTTTATTGAAGAACATAGCATGCACACAATATGCATATATATAAATATATGTATTTAAGGCTACTGGTACAAAGCTAATTGTGCAGAAAAATTTTAAATGCATTGTCACCTTGAAGTGGTTTGCTTTTATTTCCAGGTGGGGTGCCAGTCAGAGCTTAGTCTGACAACAGTCTTTCAATCTGGCTTTCAATCAACTGTGAAGGAAAACTCAGCTATGTGATGTAAAAAAGATGAAAAGTGAATTGTCAAGAAAAGCAGTGCTCATCCCAGCAAGACACACAGTATAAATATGGTAGAGAAAAGAATGCTCATCTTCTCATTACATTGTGAAATAGTGAAATAATAATAGGAACCCGAGTCTAACATGCACATGCATTTGACATACAAATAATGTTTCCAGGTAGCACATTGTGGACCATATAAAGTTCATGTTGATACATCACATTCTTGAGTCTTCCTTGTAAAATAATATTGGTTTTACTAGTTAAATAAATACTGAATGACACTTTATTTCAATAGTCCAGTGCTGATACTCAGCCATCAACAAAGATCAACAATGTATTAAATTTATTTTTTGCTAAAGATGGTTAATTAATTTAACTATTACACATCTTCAGAGTCCTACACTTTTTCTCTGATACATTATAGTCACTTCTTAATAAGCTGAGTATCAGCATTATACTGTTTAATTCAAGTGTGACAGAACATTGTATATGAAATTTTATACAGTGAAATGTATTAATGGAATCACTTCTGAATCACTAAGTCAAACTACTTGTTACTAGATTGTTCATGATGTCCATACTCTGACAGAATAAACTACATGACTGTTTAACTGTACAGCTTTACTGGAATACTTTCACTTCATAATGGAGTGGCTGCAGTTTATTATATTGGACAACGGAGACGGGAAGCCCATCATGTGAGATGGATTAGAAAGGAATTAAACTTCTCCATGGTTATAAACACAAGTCCTTTGCAACATTTCTTACTGCATTCTTATGTTAATTCCAAATAATATGAAGCAAAAAAAATAAAATCTGTTGTATTATTAAATGAATCTCTTATTACAGACATACTTTTGGGATGCAGGTCAACTATAACCCTCCTATTGTGGGTAAAATGAAGTTAGAGTTTCACACTGTAATACAGTGGGAGTGTGACATCAGACATCAGAAGGAGAATTATGGACTTGATCAACCAGCGGTGTTACGTGACCAAAACCAAAGAACGATGCTGAAAAAATTGCATCTGAATGATTCAAATCCTCTGAGTGGTTGAGTTGCTTGTAAAGGGGATAGAAAAAAATTATCCATTAGCCAGTAGGTGGCGATATTGCAATACAGAATTCATTGAAGGCAACCTATCATGAATGTGGTCAAGTGCACAGTGCAAACACAGCAAGGTATGAATGACCAAGGATTTGGCTGAAGATTTAAATATGGAGATTTCTTCTCACAGAGTTTATTTGGTCTTGGAATTCAAACTTTATAATCCCAGGGCATAAATTTTCTCTTCACTAGCAGTAATTTTCAAAGGACTGATTTTGATATCCCACTTAAAATCAAGTGGATGCACAACTGCATTTGGAGTTTTCCTCAATCACTTATCATGATAATCAACCTGGACAGTTACATTTATTTTTTTAAAAATCATTCAAATCCAAATAAAAAACCCATTTAATCTAAAGGAGTTAGACGGTAGTGTCATTACTGCTTTTATTTGGCTCCTTACACTGGAGAGTGATTGCACATTTGTGGCAGAGCAAGGAAGAAATGCGACAAGGTTTACAAACCAAACAACCCACATAACTGCAAGCATATGATCCAATACTCATCATCAGTCTGTTTTTCTTAATGAATCTCTCCTCTCATCCTCCTCCTCCTTCTTCTTCTTCATGTCAGCACCTGATAACAACTAAAGAGAAAACTGGCTGTACATCAGCAGTCCAAGGCAGAGATGTCTGAAGAAGATAGATCCTAAAACACACACATTTACACATGCTCCTTTCACTCTGTCTCCCTTGCTTTCTTCTCCTCTGCTTTCTCTGCCCAACTTCTCTCTCCTTCTCTCTCTCTGAAAATGTAGGCTAGCAGCTCTTCTTGAGACATTTTTGAAGTTTGCTGGAACCACATTAGCAGCAACTCCCAAAGGATGGCACTTCAAGGAAAGCCAAGGCCAGAGTCCCAGTTGTACTCATCTGGCACTTTCAGTAAAGGCTGAACTACCACTTATTCATGTTCCTGTGGGTCCAATAGAAAGTCCTTCCACAGAAAAAGGCACTCCCATGGGGGATACATGGACATGAGTCTTACTGCGGGTCAAATAACATACAGTACACACAGTGACAAGGGAGAACAGGAATGTTTGCAGGCAAACTGATTTCAGCAGCGTAATTATCCCCCATCATCCATCTTAAGAGACTGAGAAAAGTAATCTGGATGTTGTGGTTTATTTTGAGGAGGCTGAGTTGTTTTTGAAAAGAGCACAGTTTGAAATTACACCTGTGTTATTTCTAAACTTTCTTTTCCCAGCAGAGGGAGCTTGGAGGTCTGTCTGGAAACAAAGATTTAAGCCAATCAGAAACCAGTTTGTGGAATTAAATCTGGGCTCGCTGTGGCCATGGCAACGGCTTTACCTTTGTGACAGATGAGGAATGGAAATGGAAGAGAGGAGATGCTACAGGGACTGCGATGGTGCTTAGCAAATCTCTCAAAATAGGCACCTATTCACCCTTATTGATTACGGTCCATTTCAACTGGCTCAATTCTACTGGAGAAAACTGACTGTAGGCCTGGGTTCAAATAAAGGAAACAAGAGCAAGAAGATAGAATAGGAAACAAGACTCATTAGTTGTAATTCTCTAAAGCTGCATGTATAAAAACAAAATTAAAAAACAGTTTGATTAATTTTATTTGATGGGATTTAGAGGGCTGAAGTTCAGAGGATATCCGTAGTGTGTGCTGTCTGTCTGAACAGACCTATGAAAAGCCACACTGGAAGGAAAGAATGAAAAAATTATGGGTTGAAGGTAGGTTAGGGAAGGGAATGAGTAAACGATAAGGGCAAGTCACAGGGGAAATCTATGTTTTCCTATCATTTACCCCTTGAAAATATTTTGCAAATAGCCACTCTGTTTACAGCGGGGTCTGATAGCCTACGTGTGTTCAGTTGGAGAACATGAAACCAGTGATTTTCTTGGGGTATGACTGTTTTCTTTTATTATATTACAACAAAAATATCACATCAAATATCAAGAACACTCCACAAAAACATCTAGGCCTACTCTAACTGTATATTAGCAAATATATTACAACCTTTATGTTGCAGCAAACATTTTCTCAGTCTTCCAGACATAATTGCTGGAATTTGTTCAAACTCATATATTTTTATATTCCTAAAGATCAAATTAACAAGGCCACTTCTGTGGGTGTGGTTCTATTCTGAGTGTACCAATATGGTTTAGTCTTCAATCCCGCTTCTACTTACACAACTGCACCCAATTGGATGGAATATTCAAATTTTCTATTCTGATTGGCCTTGAATTCTGTCAATCAATGTCAATGTTCTGCTCAGAAACTAAACACGCCTCCTAAGGTTTGTGTGGAGGTAGCGGTTGATTCGTGAATGTACATTAGCAGAGTGCCTCGGAGTGAGGGTGGAAACGTGTTTTTACTTTATTTTTTGCATGCTTCTGACGCTGTAAATAGCTGCCATATTGCTGGAATAAGGTTGAAAAGTGTTTCGCTCGGTACTTCGGGCTGTACTTAGTTTGGTGGGTGCAACGCTGTAGTTAAACCCGGAGATTAGGATTTGTCACCTGGCTAATGTTACAGCCTCTGATTTACTTGTGTGTCGAAGAGTGGAGACGCTAGGTAGTTGACAAAAGAAAACAGCATTAGCTACTAAGTAGTTAACAAGTCAGTCGGTTAGCCTGATAGCCTGCCAGTACTCCCTACCGCCACAACAAGTCCCACCCTCACCAAGTGCGTGGACGTCGCAAGAAGCTGCAGCGGTGAAGTCGAGTGCTTTTTCCTGTCAACTTAGCCAGCATCGCGGTACAGCTGGCTGGCGAGCTAAAACACAGGTCGAAACGTTGGCCAGGTGACGGTAGCGTTAAATTGTTGGCTTCACGTTGTACTGGTGTCTTCTGTGGAGGCTTACTGTTGCTACACTGGCAAAGAGACTGGCTAAAAAGAAGAGGCGAAATAAGAGAGAACAAGGAAGACACCGAGAAGGAGGGGACGGGCTAATTTAGCCGGGGAGACTGAATCGCATGTAAGTGACACACTGTCGATAACGTTACGTTGTGCTTGCATGGCTACGTATTTCTACACAGCCATTTATCTTTGGCTTAGCTCGTGCTACCAGTGCGCCATACTATAAGGTAAGCTAACCGTAAATGCTTCCCTGAAGTTGGCAGACTGGCTAGCAAGATAGCTAGCGTTAATGTTGTTGAGCTGAAAGTGAGAGTGCACTGGAATCGAAACACTGCATTTGTTGCAGCCAGTATTTGTTCGACTGAGAAGTTTGGGCAAGTGGTCAACTAACCTAGACTGTCTGTTGATCTAACGTTACCAGCACCATAAAGCAGCTAGGAGTATTAGCTAATTAGCCGCTTTGCTAGCTGATTCCAACCGACCACCCACCCAAGTTGACAGCTCGGTGTCTCACGATAGCAAACAGTAATGTTGCTGAAACCTACCGGATATCAGTTATAGGCATGGCCAATGATAGGCATATATCTTTTCTGTGCAGCTGTGGGAACTGTGTGTTCCAGGGCTCAACCCTTGATAAAGTGGCTGACACTGTCACACAGCAACATTCCATGTAAGGCTTTACAAAATAGCATTCTTGTAAATGGCAGTGTAGTATCTGTTCATCTGTCAAACTTGGGTAGTTCTTTCAATTCCCATGCAGAGCTGTCATCACTTAAAATTCACAAACAGTGGCACACATTGTGCTGGTGTAGTAAAAGTAAGCTGTTCCAATCAACAATAAGCAATCCTTAGAACAGTACTCAAACATAAGAATGATGCTGTACTAGAACAAATTCTCACTCATTTTCTTTCCTTCTGTAGATAGATAGCATACGGCACCACCAACCCATACACAGCCATGAGTATTGAGATACCGGTGGGGTTGACAGAACTGCTGCAGGGTTACACTGTGGAGGTGTTGCGGCAAAGGCCGTCAGACCTGGTGGATTTTGCTGTACAGTACTTCACCCGTTTGCGGGACACCAGAAGTCAGGATGGGGCCAGCGCCGGTGGCAAAATGGGGAAAGGGGTGATGTTTGATGGAGAGCCAATGCAAACAGAATCCAACGGAGATGATGATGAAGATGATGACTCTGACTTTGAACGTAAGTTGAAGGACTGTTATGATTTTCAGCTGAACTTGGATAGAGTGAAAATGTGTGTGTCTGTGTGAGGGTTGTAGAAGGAAAGACAGTGAAGTTGGCCTCTGAAGCTGTGCCACTGATTTAAGTCAGAATCTCATCTAATAATCAGAGACAGCATTCTCTTATATTTGCATACACACACTTGCACTCAAAATCCCACTTGAACTGTTGAGTTTCAAGGATGTAAAAGGTCACATTGAATCTAAATATACAGTAAATGTTCTAGTCAAATATGTGTAAAAACTGAAAACCTTTACTGTGCAAACTCAAGAGAAATTTATGCCCTAACTACATAGACCTCCATTCCTCCTTTCCACTTTTTACATTATAGTTTAATTGAAAATTTATATATTTCACATTGGAAAAAAAAACAAGGTGTCAGATTTTACAATTAATATTAGCAAACCACCTGTCTTTGCTGCTGTATGTGATAAGTTGATACCTAACTGCATATGTTCTGAGAGTTAAGTCCATACTTCCAGGAAACTGAAATCAGATCAGATGTGCAACTTGATTGTCCCAAAGGAAAATCAAAGATAGAGCTGGGATCTTTTAAAAAAAGTTATCTTCATGATGAAAACTATTTTTTAGCAACAGTTTATGTAAATATTTAAATTAAAGTTCATTAATTGCATAGCCTTGCTTTGTAGCTCTAAATGCCAAGGTCCCAGATTTTTTTTTTCAGCAGAGGGGATGCTTTCAGATCAGTCCCCTTGTGTTTCACAAACTGGCAGAAGATGTAAGCTTCTGCCCCATAGCTCAGCTCTCTACTGTGCTGCTGAGAGCAGTGTGGCCTAGATCACACCACCGAGCTGTGGAGCCAGAGGCTGTTACCTTGTGAATGAGGATTATGTGTTTTATCAATGACTGGTTCTACAGTGATGATCTGTGAATCTTTTGTTGATGTATCTTCTAAAAGTCAGTGTTCTGGAAATAACATTTTTAAACTAGTGACAGAACGGTTTTTATGTGTGGACATTCCAAATTAATACAATCAAAAGTATGACTGTGGCTCCACACTTGACTCTTGTCTGGAACAGTGGCGGATACTGAAGCATTGGTGGAGTGTAAGAACTAGTTATTGCGGCCTGATGAATTTTGTAAATACTTGGGCTTGTTTCCTTGGACTTGAATGGTATAAGCTTCATTTTTATTTTTGAGTATTTTATATGTTAACCATTTTTATCATGCCCCATGTGCAACTGCTGAAAGTAATATTGGCCAACTGTGTACAGTGGATTGGTACAAGCTGGCTTAGGGTAAATGGAGGATTGCGGTTTCTGTTTCTGCGCTATACACAGGGGGTTTGGCTGCAGTCAAACAGCTGTGACCTCCACATGCACGTTTGTATACTGTACATGCTTAGTGGTGAAAGCAGACACGTGTTATGACTTGGATTTCACACCTGTTCATATGCAATGGCATGAAGCAGTTCTTTGTACTACATTTTTATTGCTGTTCAGTTCTTAAGCATTTTCCAGACGTCATCCAAGGTGGCAATAAAGGACAGGGAACTGGTACTTTTATCTGTCAGGGAAAAGCTTTTACCTGGAACCTGTGGGTTGTACACATGACATCCATGTAGGAGTGTATGATATACATGTTCTGTGATAATATTTTAATTGCTGTTTAAACCTTGTGTGAGCTGGCATTATCAAGTATGTCACTCACTTTACAGAAACAATTAGAAACGCACTTTGAGAGTCCACACATTCACTGCCTCATGAAGCCATGTAGGATAGACTTCTGGACGTGTGTATTTAGTGTGCACACAGTGTGTATATGGTCACCCACTACAAGTTCAGCTAGCAAAGCTGCCTAAAAATGCATTAGCAAAGTTGAAAATGAGTGAACAACCAGTGCCAGGAGACAAAATACAGACACCACTAGCCACACAGTTTACATTGTTAATTGTTAGACATCACTTGCATGGAGGTATTTTGGCTTTGAAAGGACGGATGCTGCTCAAAAGAGACCAAAAAAAAAAAACAACCTATGTTGGAAATCATTCCTTGTAAAGACAACTCATATCACCATCTGCAAACTAACAACTGCACAGAATATGCAAAGCTTCGGGAAGCTGCTGTCGGCAACAGGACTAAACCAGCCAAAGCAGCAGCACACAAACACTCAGCAAACTTTAGCAGAATCATTTTGCAAAAGTAATTACAATGTTTGTATACTGTTTTACTTTAATACTTCAATTGATGTAAACAAATAAGACCTGTTTTTCTTAAATATGTTTTCATTAATATCATCAGTAAGCAGCAACAATTATATCAACTTAACAAGAGTGACCTTGTACATTATAAGACTTAAACACATTTTTGAAGCATGATGAACATTGTCTACTTATCGTTATTGACAAAATCCAAGAAAATATCCAGATATAATTTTTTTTTGTCAATATCACACACCCCTACATCCTTGACGTTATTTTATCCAGCCAAGCTTGTGTACACTGCCCCACAGCATTTGTTTCTGATGGGAACAGCACAGCTCTGTATAATCATGTGCTCTTGCTCAACCACTGCTATAGCCTATAGGTAGAAAGAGTACTGTAGTGCCAGCGGTTCTACAGCACATTAATTCAATACAGTTTGGTTTTGTGCAGAAAATACCAAAATAGCTTTTTAAACCTGGCATTGCAGGTATGCATGGATATTCCTAGTTACTTCCAGAGTGAAACATACCCATCCTAGTTGTATCAGTTTCAACCACTACAACCCTGAACAACACACAAATAATAAGGTAATATAGTCATAGTACTAGGACCATTAATGCTCAAATACAAATGCTTTACCCCGACTTATAACTAAACACAAAGCATATTAGTAATGCAGTTACACAGCGTGTGCTGGTGGCCAAGGATTTTAAGATGCTGACCATGTAATCACAAGGGCTCTGGTTCAAGTCCAGTCAGTGATGGATGTCCTCACTTTTATTTCTTTGCTGTCAGGTCCCCACTGTGCACTATCCAGCAGAGGAAAACACACCCATAAATACTTAAGCCTGATTTTTTTTTTTTTTTTTTTTTTACAGTCATTTAGAGGTCTGAAAAATACTTCAGTTGAAGACTGAGAGAAAGTCCTTTTCTCACCTTTTGAGCAGAGCTCAGTAAAATCAGATCGCTTCTTCTTTTGGCATGCAGCGACCTTCAGGAAGTAGGCCAGGGCCTCATTTTGGGTTGGCCACATAATTAAGTAAAAAGATCATTGTAAGATTTGTAATGAGCTGAGATGGAATAGAAAAGCTCTCTACAATTGAAAAGAAGTTTTAGTGGAGCTGTGATTAATTAATTTAGCTGTGTACAAAGATGATGTGACATGATCTGTATGTAAAAACTGTGGACCCCTTTTTGTGTGTTCTTTTGTCAGGCTACTTAAAACTATGGTGATTCACGAGCTTGCTCTTAACCTTTCATTTGCTGCACAAAATCTCTTTGAATATGCCGAATAAATGACTAAAATGTAAATGACTTAGGTAGTTGGTTATGTATTACCATGGATAGCACAGTATGATCCTGAAACATGGCGTCCTATTTTATATGTTTTTGTTTGCCTGAGTCATTCAGCCGAAATCCACAACAGGACCGCTACACAGGCCTAAGCTGCATTGCAAAAAGCGATATTGTTTTGAGTGTGGACTGTACCTCATATCTGGTAATAGTGGGCCAGAGATTTTTAAGTAACCTTTTCTGGGTTGAAGCAGAGCTTTTGTTAAATGTTAGATTGATGGACTGACATAACTGCTGTGAATTAAAAGTTTATGTTGAGCGGTTGACTTAGACTAAATTCTGGACTGTGCTAAAATATTTAAGAATACATTTACAGTAGTTACAGTTTCACCTGTTGCCTTTAAAAGTCTGTGCTTGGTGAATCTAGCTGAAATGCATGATTTGCCATTTTTCTAACTCGAGTGAAAACTGAGGAGTTGGTGAAGGAGAGTTGGGGCTTTATGCAAACAAATGTGCAGTACAAGTGAGATTTGTCTGATAAAGTACGGGAATTCTTTTTTTTTTTTTTTTTTACTTCCTGTAAGCTGGGCTGTCTAGTGTCAGTCTGGCATGTTCACTGAGAGAAACTGGAGGGGATGAATGGATGTCTCTGTGACTCAAATGATTGGAGCTTTTTACTAAAAGATGGATGGAGAGACAGATGAGTCCCAGGGATGATAATAGAAATGAATTAAATGTGTTTTTATAAGAACGACAGCAGGGATAAAACAGAGGCTGAAAGGAAAGAAAGGGCTTATTCTAACTCTCAACAGAACATAAAAATTTGTAGCCAGTGTCACCTGGAGACATAACAGAGTTTAAGCTCATCTCTTATTCATCCTGGACTGAGCAATCTTACTGATGAATGGGAAATTTCAACTAACTTTATTATCAAATAACTTTACCTTTAAAATGATGTCATCTGTTTGTGGGAGTATTTTGTTCTTCCTGAAAAGCATCAGTCGTTATTTTCAAAATCGTACCTTTGTGTAGTATGTTGGTCATTTAGTATAAGCACTTGTATTTTTGAAAGCATAGGTCTTAGGATGACACAACATCAACAGATGCTAGTAAAGTGTTTCCTTTTCAATGCAGCAGCCCTTTTGCACCCTTGCACTCTTGCAAAATTTCCCAGATGGTTGGTGTTCCTTTTGGATTGAAGTGTTTGTTGGTGTTTGACACCAGTAAATTCTGACATAAGGCCTGTTGCTTGGTGAATAACAACTAAAACCAATTATACCCTTAAACGCCCATGATACAACTCAGCTTTTTAAACAGAGCATCTGCATGTCCTGGAGAAATTTTAGGTTGAAGACCTTGCATGATCCTAAATACATTTTGATATAGGGTTTCACACCCTAACTTTAGTTGCTGTATAGTTTTTAGAAATTGTATATCATCAGTTTTCAATTTTTTTTATCCAGTGATAAAATATATTTGTTTGTTTTAAGATTGTTTACTTCTG